ATTATAGACAAATCTCTGATACTCCTATTTTTACAGTTGTGTGATCGCACAACGTTACACGATGTGCGGTGTACACACGATGTGTGCACGGTGTGTGAACGATGTGTGAAAGAAGTGCGAACAATAAAAAAATTGAACGATCATTGCTTGCGCACATTTGTGCGGACGACCGACGAACGATAGTAGTGACGGCCGTTCCAGAGTGTTTCGTCGCGTTGGAGAACATTTCCGTGACGCGTGTGTGGTACAACGACGTTCTTTCGGCGGAGGCAGCGTTATGATTTGGGGCGGCATCACAGCCAACGTGAGAACGCCTCTGGTGGTTGTTAACGGAATTTGAACGCGCTACGTTACCGTGACGAGATCCTCCGCACCCACGTCGTTCCATTCGTGCAAGGGTAGCGACGTCACATAACGCTACAGCAGGACAACACCAGGCCACACACAGCTCGTGTCGCTATGAACATTCTGGCCCAGCAGAAAGTTCACGTGTTGCCCTGGCCTGCTGTATCCCCCGATCTGTCGCCAATTGAACACGTCTGGGATGAAATGAAGCGCAGATTACGGGCATTACCTACTCAACCGGTGACGTTGGCTGATTTGGCTGCAGCGTTGGTACAGATCTGGGATGCCACAAGCACTCTTGAACCGTCTGATAAGCTCCATGCGTCGACGTTGCCAGGCTTGCATTCAGGCAAACGGTGGACGTACGAGGTATTAACTTTGTGAACTCAGTATTGACCCCTGCTGTGTTTACCTCACTCCTGAGCGGAACTTATTGATTCCATGACGTGGAAAAAGGAATGCAACTGGGGTTTTTTTTTGGGGGGGGGGAGGGGGGGGGTATTGGTTTTTTTTCAGATTTTTCAGATTTTCAGAACATGTACATTATACAGAACATCACATCAACACACATCCACACATTCACACATATCAACTATTGAAATTATCATCATCCACATCCTTATCATCATCCTCATCATCATATAACGGATAATAATTTGTGAACCGCTTTGAGACGACCTACGAACTAGGTTGCGATAAAGCGGTATATAAGAACCGAGAAGAGAGAGAGAGAGAGAGAGAGAGAGGGAGAGAGAGAGAGAGAGAGAGAGAGAGAGAGAGAGAGAAATCAGACTGCCAAATTTGGTAAGAAAATAAATAAAATAAATAACTACTGTGAGTATTTGTCAATATTTTGATTTTTAAAGTACATTTGTTCCTGTATGTAACCATCAAAGAAAGATCGTAATAAGTTGGCTCAGCCTGCATCGTTCAAAAATCACAAATCTGACTTACACTGTACATGTATACCTGCATCAGCAGTCATTGCTACTTATTCTAATTGAATAGAGACCTGCTTGTTAACATAGATAGAAGGGGTTGGAGTAAGCAAAAGAGTAACACCTACTTACTTAGTATAAATAGTCATAAGACTCAGGGTTAGGTGAGGTCAAGCTCCACTAATGTTAACCATTTTTCCCATTCAGAAGTAAATCTTCTAAGACATTGTTCCCCTTTACCACGAGCAATATATTTCTGAACCTTATAGTAGTCTTTAATCGAATTGACTAAAGCCGTCACATTAAGTAACTTATGAAAACATCTGGTTTTGTATATATATTGTTTTATGAGCGGAGTAATTTCATTATCAATTCTGGTATAAATTCCAGTTTGGTTGATAAAACCAAAGAACATTTATTTAGTGAGAAAGGAATAGTGAGAGCACTTAAAAAACTTTCAAAATTGCTCAGAAATTTTTGTACTTCCCTGCATTCCCATAAACTGTGGGTAATTGTCTCCCTTTCTATGATACAAAAAACACAGTGTGGGTTATTTACAAGTCCAACTTTGTATAAATAAGAATTGGTTGTTAAAATATAATGATTAATTCTAAAGTGCAACCATTGCAATTTTGTATTTTGTGGTACCCTGAAAGGAATAGTATATATTTCCCCTACGTTTCCTGATTATAGTCGAATATAGTCCCCCATTTTGTTTGAGCAGTTATTGATGCATTTTTCCGATAAGTATATTATAGAAGTCTTGAGAACCCTTTTTCTTCTTTAAAATTATTACAAGATGTAACGGTATTATTGGGTAAATCACTTTTTTGTTTGGCAAATTAAGTTGTTTCAGATAATTCTTTATGCTTGTTATCAAGCCATGATGTTCTAGATAATTAGTTATTGTACCATGTAGATCACAAAATTCCTTAAAAGACAAGAAGGAGTAGTCTGTGTTGTTTTTCAACAAATCATTAATTATCATAATCCTATTTTTAAACCACTTACGATAAAAAAACTTTATTCCCAACAGAAATCTGTTATTGAAGCTCTGAAAATAAGTTGGATAGAAACGTTTTTTAGACCAGAAGGTAAATGGGTAAGTATTTTAAAATCTTGTGTAAATCCTCATATCTTGGCTAACTCAGGAAACGAGTACTTAAATAAAATTCAAGGAAATTGCAAAAATGTGTTTTGGAAAGATGTGTTTAGGGCATGGTATAAATTAAGAGCAAAAGAGGAGCTGTTATTAACATTTATACCAGTTATACTCTATATTGTTTCTAAGGCGGATTGCTAATACTTCTGCACATAGTATAAAAATGTATGGAGCGATTGGATCTCCTTGACGACAACCACGATTTATTTTGAAAAATGCCGATAAATTACCCCCCTGGTTTATAGCAGAACTTGAATTACAGTGTAAAACTTTGACCCAATTTCTGATATCGTTTCCAAATCCAAAATATCTAAGTACTTCGTCTTTGAATTTCCAAGAGACAGAATCGAAAGCCTTTTCAAAACCAACCATTAATAACATTCCAGGGATATCATTTTCCTCTGCATAATTTCATAAACCAGGCGAGTATTTTCTCCTACATAACGTTCTGATATAAATCCTGTTTGATCAGAGTTTATAATTTTGTGTAAGACTAATTTGAATCTACTTGTTATTTATCCAGAAGCAATTTTGTATACAATGTTTAATAGAGAAATAGGTCTCCAATTCTTTATAAAATACTTTTATTTATTCCCTGACGTTGTGTAATAGACAGCTGACCGTTTGAAAAACCATAATTTAATGCCCTTACCACAAAATTACCTAACAGATTCCAAAAACATTTTAAAAATTCCGATGTGAATCCATCTGAGCCTGGGCTCTTATTACTTTTCATATTCTTTAGTGTTTCAGATGCTTCTTTAAGTGTAATAATACCTTCCAAACTGACCGCTTCTTCAACATTTAATCTTGGAACATCAAAATCTTCTAAACATACATCCAAATTTATGTCATCGACTTTATTATCAATAGAATAAATTGTTCATAAAAAATTTCCCCTCATTTAATACATCTTCTTGTTTAGTTAGAAATTCCCCATTCTCCCGTTGTAACTTTAGAATGATTTTTGATATAGAATGTCTATTTTCTAAATTAAAAAAATACTTGGTATATTTGATCTATTAAGGTCTTTTCCCTTGCACAACACTGTATCTTTTCATAGGAAGAATATGAAATTGACTTACCTCTAATTTCCATTAATAGTGTTTCTAAAAATAACTGATCATTTATAACAAACTGTAAATCTGAATCAGGTATATCATCAATATTTTCCGGATTGTATATAGGAAGGCAATACTGTAATTTAACTGTTTTAATAGTATCATTAATTATATTAAGATATTCCAGGTCATGTAATAAGGAACTATTTAACTTCCATAGACCTTTACCTTTTTTAAATACGTTAAATTTTAACATAATTTTGGGGAAAGAATGGTCTGATCTGTAACCTGGATCTATACTTGTCTCATCTACACTTTGTAATAAGTTCCCAGAAACCAAAAAGAAATCTAACCTAGACTGCTTGATAGGTTTACTCCTGCGCCATGTATATCTGGAAATGTCAGCATGCTGTTCTCTAAAAACATCTACTAAATCAAAGTTATCTATTATTTCTAATACCCTATCACGAGCCTTTGGATTATTAACATTTTTGTAGTTTTTATCACAATCTAAATCAGGATTAAGAACTAAATTAAAATCCCCACAAACAACACAGCTATCATTTTTAAACTCATAGAGAGTTTCTTCTATTTTATCATAAAAAGTTGGGTTGTCATCAGAGTTTGGACCATACAATGTAATTAAAGTTATTTTCTAACCTTCAATTTCTAGATCAAATGCAAAAAAAATCCCTGTATATTCTGTTTTCCCCTTTATCACCTTGACTTCAAAATTGTTATTGATAAGTATTGCTACTCCCTTGCTTTAGATTTAAAAGAATTAAAATAGCAGTTATAGCCCCATTCACTCAGTAAGAGTTCTTCCTGTTCTTTGGTAAAGTGAGTATCTTGCAGACAGCGGATATTGTATTGCCTATCTCTTAAATAAGTAAAAACATCTTGCGCTTAACCTTGTCACCAAGGCCATGGCAATTGGCAGATAATATCTTAATTCCCTCCACAACTGTTTAAAAAATTACAATGAATACAACAATGAATGGAGTTACAACAGGCAGTAAAAATTGACCGACGGAAACTACACAGCAGTAACAGTATTTGCCCGGCGTGATGTCTGACACAAGAGATGGAATAAAGAACTGAACACAGAGAAAAGACACACAAAAGAAACACATAACGGACACAAATAAACATTTAAAATATCAAAAGTGGTCAAGAATGACTGACACACTATCACCTATATACATTCATCTAATATTTTATTCATATTGGAATGCAACTGTTAATAAATAACAAATAAATTGTCCCTGAAAACCTTGTTGTTCTACGTCATACACATTTATTTGCATAACACATTTTAGGCATGCACAGTTTCTTTTTTTCGCTAGTATATTTCACATATAAACTGATGTTTTAAATTCTGTTGGTATAAATACGTGTACTGCTTTACGCACAATTGCATCATAAAATTAACATGTCTTTTAGCTATGAAACTATAAACACTTTCAAGAAGAATAAATAAACATAGGACATTACCCGAGCAACTTGTCCCCGTCCATCCACTCTGACATCCACTAACGTCACAGTGTCCAGTATCTGGGTTACAACCACCATCGCTACAGTGACACACACTGCTACAATTAGGTCCAAAGTGATTCATGGTGCATTCTATCAACAAAAAGTTATATTTGTATTTGAGACGGTAGAACATTTAAAGAGCTGATCGATTGAACAGCAAACCATAATCAGATGTTCATATCTACAATACTACTAAACATGTGTTTGACCGTTGAGTAATTCAGGATCACGAACATTTAGCATAGGACGGAATTATGTTTGAAAATGTAGGTTAGCATTCTAATATCTTCTTTTAAATAAAGGACATTGACCAATCCTTTGTGCTGGAAATATTTGGTGAAACATATCGGGACTTTGAAACCTATTTACCATTCATATTGCGGAGGTGTCATTGCAAACAACAGTGCTCCAGTACTTTTCTTAACAAAATCTCTTCTGAAGTAATAACGGTAAAACAAACAATAAAGTCGCAGGGTGGTAAAGACTTTTGGTAAATTTTAATATTCCCATCATGTAACATGAGTTTGAATAAAGGTTTTGTTGTCTTGTCGTCACTCTTGATTATTTTTCTAACTGTTCTTAGCGTATCAGTGGAAATGCCATTTGAATTTAGATAAATTCTAAAAGACTTCTCAATAACATTTATGTCAGGCAGAAAAAGGAACAAATAATCAACTACTTATTGAAATCACAATGATTTAGTATACAATTCAATACATGTATATCGTTACATACAAACTATTGTATATAACTAATTGTGTTTAAATACGTTATCCGCCTCACGTATCATACCATTAACACATCATTTTTTTTCTATAAAATTCATGCCTAATTACCAACAGAAAAAATAGATAAAGGACATTACCCGAGCAACTTGTCCCCGTCCATCCAATCTGACATCCACTAACGTCACAGTGTCCAGTATCTGGGTTACAACTACCCGTCCTACAGTGACACACGCTGCTACAGTCAGGTCCAAAGTTATTCACGGGGCATCCTATCAACAAAATGTTCTATATCAATATATGTTATTCATAAAAGAAGTCAACAGAATTGGACATCGGGCATTGCCTATATAAGTCCTCGCCCTACAGCTTCATCCATCTGGTATTTCTGGAGTAAGATGTGTTTCGGTTTGCCAAAGTAAACCGCTTTGAACAGTTCTCATTCAAGAATAATGATAATAATGATATTTATTAGATATCTTACATTTAGGTGAAATATTTCGAGACTAGGCAGAGGACCTGGGTTTATATGTATATCATTTGAAAAAATAAGTAATGTAGCATCTATAATTAAAAAAACAGGTTTTAGGCTGAATAGATACTGCGAACAGGTATTACATTTGCAAACATACAAACACTTATTTGTTTACCTCCTGGATCTCATGTGAGTCCCATAGGGTGGTGGTGATGTTATATTCGTAATCAAATACCAATTTGAAATATTTCATGACAGAAAAGGGACACATGCTATACCGAGTATCTAGTGTGCATAAACAGAATACTGGGCATCCACAGATGGGTATTGGCAGCATTATCAGAAGGAAGGTGTTTGTAAATAGCATAATAACATGAAACACATATCAACACATAATGAACAAGTACAGCTGTTTGACCGCATAACGCACCAAAAATATCATGCGCAAATCGTGCATACATCGTGCACACACCGTCTGGACATCGTCCACACAAGGTGCGCCCAACTCTACGCTTTGACAATCTTTCGCCCCGTTGTGCACTTCTCTCTGCACAAATATGCGATTAGGTACAATTGGTCAATCAGTATTACGGAATGAAAACAATCCGGAAGGCTCGTATGGAATAAGGAACACGGTACACATTTCTCGTTAAATTAATTAAGATTATGTTCAATTTTACAATGCGTGTTATATAATATTACAGTGACTGTTAGACTGTCAAAAAAGAGTTTGGCTCCCAGGTAACAGAAGAGGTAAATAACATTTTGATGAGTGACCGGACTTTTACCTGGCGCCCTGTGCCTGACATAGAGAGCCGATGTAGGATTCCCTATTGCTGTTATGAAAACACAACTGGGCGTTAAGTATTTATAATTTGTATCCGTTTCGGTCTATAGATTATCTTCACCCATATTTTCACACCTTGACGTGTTACGTAAATGCCCCGGATCGGGAAACTACGGTCTACGAACATGTACAAATTAAGTGGCTAAGTTTACCTGTATATGGGATCATGTCCATAGCTGTTATACTTCTACATGTGTCAATTTGGTTAGTTTAAAAACACCGAAACACCATTTCTAATTTTGATAAAGATCAGCTCATATATGCAGATAGAATAGAGAAATATCATAAAAAATAAAGTACATATGTTTTAACACGAAACCGTAAAAATTGTAAAGCCATTTCTCAACTCACACCAACCACGATTGTCATCGCACAACGTGTTTTTTTTTTATTGAAACATATAATATTGCCGATAAAATTAGCAATGGGATAGGTCACGGGTTGAATAACTTATATGAAGCCCTTTCCCTCAACGTTCGTCCATCGTCCGCACAATTGTACGCAAGCAATAATCTTCCAGATTTGTACGATAAATAAAAGGGCAGGCTAAGCTAGCTACGTTCTTCAAGGTGTTATGTATACATTTATGTACAGATATGTATATTGATATCAATTTTTTTCTTTATCTCGTAATGAAACATAAAAAGTAGGCACACCAGTGTAAACAGACGAGAACACGCGCTTATCACTGGGCATGTACGTTGGTTTCTCATAGAAAGAAAAACAAATAAAACAAAATCAACAAATGCTATTTACATTGGTGATGGTATAACGTCCTCAAACGACATCAGATGTTCATGTACTACATTGTAGCAAAACTAAACATGTGTTTGACTGTTGAGTAATTCTGGTTCAAGAGAATTTTTAACATCGGACAGGATAATGCTTGAAAGTGTAAGTTAGCATTCCAATATCTTATTCTAAATGAAGGCATTAACACGTCCTTTTGCTGTAGTATATCGTTACATGTACTTTCAACATATTTACTATTCATATTGACAAGGAGACATTGCAAACAACAGGGCTCGAGTATTTTTTTTTAACTAAACAACTTATGAAGTAATAATGGCCGAACTAACAATACAGTAGAATGTTGGTAAAGATTTTTGGTTAGTTTTATGATTTCCATCATGTAATATGAGGTTTAATGTTATGGTTGTGCCGATTAGTTTCCTTTATCACTTTTTTTTTACTGACCCGGGTCTCGCTTAGAAGACGTGATATAACTCAGATTGTGTACCACAATATATCAAGGTTAACTTAAATACATCACCTCTCTAATTACATCACCTCTCAAACATTTGTATCTAAAATGCATAAACTGTTGAACGCAAATTAACAGAAACAGGACACTAAATTTGAAAACCCAAAAAGACCGTAATAAAGATAGCTGATCCGCTTACAAACTTTTTTTTATCAGATTACTATTCAAAAAGAATGGAAACAGCAGGCTTTTGTATGTGTTATTTACAGAAAGTGTTACTCCAGCTTGGCTACGCCAGTTTTGTTTGTGGCACCTTTTGAAGCATGACTCATTGATGAATTAAAAGTAGCATAAAGTCGGAAACAAGAACTTGACCATAAATGACAAAAACTTTACCTACTCAGAGAGGCTACGGAAATATAAGGTATCAACACCGACATACAGCAGGTGTAGAGAGGATAAGATCGAAGTATATGTACAACGAGAAAACTTGCGTTTTTGGTAATATTATTGGAAAAAGTGTAAGCACGGCAAATCAACAGAGTAATTCCAAAATGATATTCCCACTTCAATTCAGGACGTCGTCCCTGAGCAGCAACGATTTCAAAAACAGAACTGTAAAGTCATGGAACGGTCTCCCAGAGGGGAGTTGCAATAGTCCCCTGTGTAAACTCATTTAAAAACAGATTGGATATTACAAAGACAAATCAAGAACTTTGATGCCATCATACATTGTAGGACAATTCTAACAAGAACTAAACATTAAAATAATATGAAAAGGCAAAGCCTTAAAAGTGCGTAGCTTTTGTTTATCTCTGATATTTACTGATTCAGAATACAACTTTCAGAATGAGATAAGATAAACTTTATTTAAAGTTGGCTAGTCGAGGAATAACAATAAAACACAAGCTCTAATGAGATTAAGACCGATATAACAATAGGGAGACCGGGGCAAATTCGGCCTTTTTTTATTAAAGTTTGTTCTAGGAAGTATTGCAGCAGGTCTGTTTTTGAACATTATTTAGCTTTCCTGTCGAAAGATCGGATGGCCGAACGAGCCCCTCCATGGGGTAAGTTCGGACAGGCATTCGGGTAAGTTCGGCACATTGGAATCAGCTTAATTATGACGTCATAAAGCATGCAAAGTCATATTTTACCGCCAATTTAACGACTTTTTATGTGTTAACTACATTGGCCGACCTTGCCACGGTATTATTGGTCGAACCTGTTCGGGCCCAACTTGATATTTTAATAAATTCTTATCGTACAGCAATATGGTAGTGAGTGATTGGCTTGGCTTTTATGTATTATCATTTGAAGCTGTCAGTGTGTTACACGTTTGACTGTAAAAATGTAAATGTATAGAGATGTTAGCTAAAAAATTAAATTAAAAAAAAAAACATTATAATATTTTGATGTAACTGAAATTGTCTTTATATCGATATGTAGTCTCAATTACTGTTCCATCCTGAAACACCGGATTGAATTTCAAATTTTGAAACTGTCACCGAGGTTTGACAGGTAATGATGTCAAATAAATTACAGTTTCTGTCTGTAACTAGTTATAAATCGGCACGCGTTGTGAAAAAAGTGATACGTTGCTGAAAAAGGGCGTTGCACTTGGGTTTGTTGTCTGGAAAATTATTGCTAATTTCGTCATATATGAATTTTCCATTGCTTCTTCTATGAGTGGTGATGCATAAATAATGTAAAGACTATATGCAGACTTTCAAAAATGTAAATTATTTCGTTCATATTCTCAACATATGGAAATCAAAAGCTGATGAAATTTTAAATGATTTCTTTTTGAAGATATCTCCCGGTAGAAATATCAACAGAACCGGGTTGATGACAAAAAAGATCTTCAGAAAATATCCGCATTTTTACTTTTTGTGCTTGTAAAAAACGAAATTAAAAAAAAGTCTTGAAGCACCGACAAAGAGATAAATGCAACGAACATCAGTTCTAGAATTTTCCGGTCATTTTTCATCCTTCCAGAAATAACCGATGAAGGCCGATGTATTGTGGCGTGCTTGTGACGTAATAGTATGATAATATCTGAACGAAGTTTCATGCCTGTTAGTATCACATTTTATGTATGGGTGAACACAATTGACTTTGCTTCAGGGATACACTTCCTGTGTCCCCTCTGGCGTCTACTTCCGGACGAAATTTTTTAAAGGCAACGTGTAGAAAGGGGAAGCAACTCTGTGTACGCCCTCATGTGTTACCATTAAAGAGCTTCGCAATTTCGTACAATAGAAATAATTTAGGCTATCCCATAACCAGACCCACTTCACGCAGACGGCAATATTTCTCCTTATCTAAACGTCGAAAGATTATTTGAAGCAACATAGCTATTCTACCTTGATTGTTAGCAGAATACTTCTTTAATTATAAAGGCCTTAATAACTTCAGAACAAACGTATCACACAAATGAGTCCAACGCCAAGTGATACTAAGTATCGCATCTTGATGTTGCAACTGAAACGGAAATGTTTCGGTTCATCATCAATAACTCATGCCATATCACATCGAAGCAGTATGCCGTTGAGATCGCCATGTAGGGTAATGGTAAACATTCAGACACGAGCGACGGAGTTCGATAATGAGGTAAATGTACATGTACAATGCCAGATTCAGAAAAGTGAACAGACGCTTGTGTAATTGTCAGATCTTCTCTCATTTAATCATGTCTAAACATTGTTTATAAAGAATGATACCAACAGTCTGTAATATCAGAGCTAGTAGATCTCTGTCGTATGTAGAGAGTGGGAGTTGGAAAACAAGCATGAGTTTTGATAAGCAATCATGTGCCTCCAATTAGCATCTGCTTTGATAAAAACTATTTTGATTGACAATCAAATGACATTGAGCAGCTTTAAATATTGAAGTTAAGCAGGGATCAGGAAGATTGAAATCTATCACAAGGAATTTGAATACCCTTCCCTTCAACTATTTCAACAGGCATGTTCCGAACATCACATATTATCATTAATTTGTTATGGGCTATTTCAATTTTTAATGCATATCTCTGTTGTAGAGAATAAACTGTTGTAGTAGATAAGTAGTGACACGGTTCTTAATTTACACTTTACAGATCATTTAATTTGACTTTGACCAGTTTTCCTTTAAAATTTTGAAATCAATAAATTAGGCATTTTAGGCACCTGCATCTCTGTTTCAACTGTAATTTAGACAATTTGGATTTCCAACTATTTGGTCTGTACCAATACCAATGAGTCCAATAAGGACGGTATGATGCAATGCAATTCTTTGTTGTGACTTACTGTACCGAAACCATTTTTTTAAATATGCAGTAACTTGCGCGTTTTACGGGGTTTTTTTTCTTGTCGCAAACATATATGCAATGTAGGTACATGTAGATGGACAACTTACAAAAATAACAAGCATCGGAATTTGAGACCAATTGCCCTCTTCTAAAATGACCGGAGACCCAGTGCAACATTGGGTATCTCCTAAATACATCACGACATTTGTTTTAAACAAAAACAATGAAAACACTAAATTTTACGAAATGAAAACAAAATGCACATGAACAGATATGAAAGCGCACCAAAATTGTATCAAGAAAAATGAATTAATGAGTCAATATGTAGTCTCGTTCTGAATAAAAAGTGGAAGGAACTCGGGATTTCTACTATTTATTATTCAAATAGGGGAAATAACTTAGATTTTCCTGTATACTGTAGCAAAATACGGTATAAACATTAGATCACAACTCAATTTAGTTATCAACGCTACGTAACATATTTTTACTTGTGTTCGCGATGTTATACAAAACAAAGAAAGGTGATGTTGAAGCCCTTTTTTCTTCAAAGATGCCCCTTTTAATATAGGTATGTAGATAATGTAAAAATAACAAGAATCGAAAAAAGAGAGTAATTTGTCTATATTCTCAAAAGTCTGGATTCTCTGTACCACGATGGAAATCTTGTAAATATAACACAAAATTTGCTCTCAGGAAAAAGAATGGAATTGTTTACAAGATGAAATAACGGCACATAAACAGGCCATAAAATACGCCCTTAAGTGCAGTATGAATTTTTCTTGAAAGTGACTTTAGGTACAACACATAAAAAATATTACCCATTGTATCACCAACAAAGCTTCTCTATGTTAACCGTTTTAGTTTTGTTAGCATTGGTCCTTAATAGCATTCTTACACTACAAACAGCCAAATAAAGGATCACATCCTCGAACATATACATTTGTAATTATTCAGCTTGAGATAACTCTGCCGGTTATAAGTGTGGGTACAAATGAAATAAGAAGCTATTATACAGATAATAAAGGTCCAAATACCGACCTTACTCTATCAGAATCATTAGACTTCGACAGTAAGTACAGTACAAACCAAAACTAATGCAAATTGTATAAATACCAACAAATTGTATGGCTGTCCTCTAGGGAAACAATATGTATACGACAGAAAAGCCAAAACTATTCTTTTTAGAAAAACTTAAAAATTGAAATAAAGCTACACAGTTAGCCGATGTCATATGTCTAATACAGTAAGACAATAATTGCCTTGGTTATGAGAAGTTCTTTTTACGCAACCAATAAAACCTTGAAAATAATTGCCTTGTATGTGTTTCTATGTTAGCTTCAGCAGCAATCTGCTGACATGAGCGGCTAATCAGTATGTTGATGCCACTTTCTGACAGAATCAATTTAAAGTTGTATATACAATGTAAAAACATTCATGTCATCAAACAAGTAAAAATTACAACAACAAAAAATAATAAGTCAGCAGCCTATATGTATGTAATAGTGAGAAGCTGCAATAATTACTTCAAATATTTTAATGACATTTTTACGGGCGAACTTTGTGAGTGTTTTCATGCGATAATCACATGCAGTATTGTACAGTTGTGTGACCGCACAATGCACCAAAATTAGCGTGCGCACACCGTGCATACATCGTTCACACACCGTCCGCACATCGTCCACACATGGTGCGCACAACTGTTCGATTTAACAATCGTTCGCCCCGTTGTGCGCTTCTCTCCACACAGTTGTGCGATTGGGTACAATTTGTAGTGAAAAATTAAGCAATGAAACAAATACGGAAACCTCGTATGCAATAATGAAAACTGTAGAGTCATGAAGATTATGTACAGTTTTACAATGCGTGTAACACAGCATGAAAGTGACCATTGAAAGGGTTTGGCTCCAAGGTAACAGAACAGGTAAATAACAATTTGATGAGTGACCGGAGTTTCACCTGGCCTGTACCTGACACATAGAGCTGATATGCGATACCGTACATTTAGTATTTGTTATTTGTATTCGGTTTGCCTATAGCTCCCCTTCACCTGGGTTTTCACACCTTTGGCCCTACCCGACGAAATACGTAAGCGCCCCGGGCATTGAAAAAACTACGGTCCAGGTACATGTACAAAATGGCTATGTTTACCTGTATACGGGACTGTGTTGTAGTTTCATATGTGTCGATTAAGGTCGTTAAAAAAATACCGAAAACACAATTTCTAATTTTAAGAAAATATAGACATAAAGATAAGCTTATAGATGTAGGTAGAATATAGAAACTTACATAAAAATCAATTTGTATTTGTTTACACACGAAACCGTATATATTGTTAAGGCATTCCTTAATTTACACCAACCACGATTGTTATCGCACATATTCGTCCATCGTGCACACATCGTTCACTCACCCTGCACACATCGTGCGCACACCGCACATCGTGTAACGTTGTGCGATCCCACAACTGTACATCTGATACGCAAGTTCGATATTAATGTATTTCAAAGGAACAATCTCAAATTTATGTAATGCTACAGTTTCCTTCCATAAACCGATATGTGAGCATATTTCAATAAATCGGTCAATATTGTGTTGTTTAATGCTCTGCAACACTTTTTAAAAGCAGATGACTTTAGTAAATTATGACTTCCAGTACGGAAAGAAATTCCAAAAAGTGGGCATATCCGATGAATCGTTAAGAGAAATATTGTATACTAGAATGATAAATTCCACATATAGCCATTTGTTATATACCTTTGTAAAGGTAATTATAAATGCTACTTGGAAGTGCAAAATCCCGTAGCCTATGAAAGGCACATGTAATTATTTAGCATCACTGTAGGGGATGCTACAGAAGCACTTGCGGTCCAGCTGATGTTTAAACTTGTTTTAAAAGGTTACTTATATGAGATGAACGAGTTACACTAAAACATACTATATCTATTTAGGTCATATTTCCATCATCTATGCAACACCTCCTTTTTGCATTCTGAAGTGAATGGTTCGCAACGAACAATAAGAACAAATATTATAATTTAGATGTTTTGCCTACCATTAATAGAGTGAGTTAAGGGATTAAGCTGCAAATTACTGCCGAATGCTTTATTTATTTTTTTATGGAGAACATTACCACTTGGTATAGAGAAGAAAGAAAAGAAGATGTAAAAAAAACATACTAGCGGTGACATATGCTGTCATTTAAATAGTTGTATATGTCACTAAGCTTGAACCCTTCTGAGTATAAAATCGTGAAAATTGTTGAATTGAGAGAGAAACAATGAGAGAGACAGACAGAGAGACGAAGAGAGAATAAGAAATACTTACCAAATACCTGAACCTCACATAGCTCAATATACGCGACGTCAGATATAGCAGGATGCATTGTATCATCAACCGGACGTTTGTTATAGAAGATTACGTATATCCCGTTGATAGAACAATGCCGTGACTGTTTGTAGTTAGGAAGTGCCGAGCCGTTGTCGTGGTAACACAGATGTCCACGATGTGTACTTATGCTACCATTGCTGTCTACCGCCATGTCGGTATGATTAGTGACGTAGAGGTAGTACCCATATAGTCTGGTTGTAACTGCAACAATAAAAAAATCATTTTTGCGATGTTTAAAGTATTACCAACAACATTTTGTTTCAACATAAATCATTAAGCATAATTCATAGTTATGTAAGGATGATTAGGTGATAAAAATAATGTACTAGGTCATTTTAACCTTATATTTTGATGATTCACAAACATGTGCTATTGATGTGATTATTTTCTAAGTGCAAAACATCAGATTTGTCCACTGTATCAGCACATTTTGAAACAATACATAGTCCTTTAGAGAAGACTCAGTGAACAACACTATTTTTCTTCTTGTAATCGCTTTAAATTTATAACTAAGTAATGTCAGTAGCACTTCGAATAAAAATATCCATTTATAACGGTCGTTATGTACACGCATTGACACACTGCTTTGGTAGTGACGCGGTCGAACGTCTCAAAAGTAAGCCGCCATTGTTTACTTAACCGTCAAAGAATTAGAATGCGCGTTCATGGAATAAGAAGATTACCAGCATTCCTTTTGTTGTACGATCCGACATAATGGATTCCGAATATGTTCAATGTTTCTACATGTTGCAGGAACCAAACAATGATTGTCATCGAACAGTTACCTCGCTGAAGCATGAACGGCGCAATATTTGAAACGGGTATCAATCCGCCGAGCATTTTTTTCATTGCGTATACGCTAGTTCAGATGCAGTAATATTTTACTAAGCTGAAGAAAAGGGGTTATTTAAATATTTATCATTTTAAAGGTAATTATTAAGACAGTGTTTTGTTTAGAAGTTCAAGCAGATAGCGATTTTATTTTTGTAATTCCGACATAGATCTATTTAAGACAGATGGGGGATATGAAATTATTAAACGTCAGTGTAGAGGGCGCTCAGTCATACTTGTGGTCAACTGAAGTTTTAAGAAGTATCTGTTTTTTCAAATTCATTGATTTACACTAAAACATACAAATTTATCGTGGGCCTACATTGTATTTTCACCATCTATTCATTTTTTTTCTTCACATATTCTTAATGAATTACAATTTATTTTATTTCTCCAATCCCTTACCCATACATATCACACTGCCGTGCATTATTCCAAAGGGGTTGAGAATCCAATAAGCACAAAAAAAAATACATGCAAATAAATGTTGCTTTCTTAAATTTATTGCATTTTAAGAGGAATAAAGTTGATACACACACTGGGCATACTTTCGAATTGACGGAAAGTGCCGAACATTTACAGCATGTTTATTCAAAGCTGGTATTTATCGCTTCATATGCAGTTATCGCAAAAGTTCTGCAACGCTCATGCGCGGCTTTTCCCTAGCTACATGTGAACAATTGTGATGGATTATAAAGCAGCATTTCAGAAAATTGCTAATACTTCGTTTTCTAAAGCAAAATCCAAAAGTATAAGCCTATGATTACATAGTTTATCATTTCCTCTTTATAAAGTTTTTGTAAGTCCCATCGTTGTACAGGTAAACAAGCCTTGACACACGTTCATCAGTAAGTATCTGTTTCCGTTATCAATCAAGTATCAAAATACAAAACATATTATTTTATTTTTTTTGTGTATTAAATGATTTTTTCGTTTATTTGTATCACTTCTTTAACATAATGTAGACTATATAAAAGAGAAAATTAACGATAAACATGAGAGAAACAAACAGTAAATGTTTACCTTGATTTTTACAACAGATAATGTAGCAATGTTGAGATCACATACCTAAATTTTAAATTTCTTTTTTTCTAACGTCTAATAGTAAAAGTATTGTGTCTATCTATTACATACAGAGATTATAATCATGTTTATATGAAGCTTTTTAATTCTTTGAAAAAAGATATATTTATATAATGCCATACATTATGCATAGATGCGGGCGTTTTCATCTGAACGTCACTTCATCTTTGTAAATACGATGTTAGTACACTTATCCAATTATTTATAATGAGATAATGGTAAGATGCATACAACAATTACATCCAATTACATTGTGTATTATACAATGTAGCAATGTAATTACAGAAAGGTAACTTACAGGCTTGTCTGTACGTAATGTTGATCGTCTGTATCCTGTACACGTCTCCCAAGTCAACCTTCCACCAGGCCTGATTCTGATGTAGCCCTGTGTGAGAACAGTGTCCACCCGGAATTTTTTTCCCGATTGTTCCATCCACTGCTCTACCGGCAATATTAGCGTCGAGTGTTGAACTTTGTGTAGCAGTTTTATGTAAAGCTAAGTCTCCTTTAAATCAAAGATTATTTAGAACTGATCGATTAAAAAAGTGATAGACATCAGAACTAAGATAAATAGAATCACCGTTCCCATCTGGTTAAACATATAGCATCGCATTCCTACTTTTATGTGCTGAGTAGTAATAAGTAGATTACTCATGATACCTTTTAGTTCTGTTTAAACATACTTCATATTACTATATAATTTGATAGATGTGAAACACAGTACTATGATTTTCTTTCATGACTTTCTAATAAGAACATATGACTAGTACAATTGAAGCAAACGATTTGATTCAATAACGATAAATACCATTGGTATGTCGTATAGGTTGACAGTTTCTTAAAGATCAATTCGTTTCGCTAATACATTTTTAGCATTTCTAAAACATGTTTGTACCCTATAAATTATACGTATACCCTTAACAGTGTTAGTGTAAAAGCATGTAAAACTGATTGAACAGATAATGTAACCGGGGTTGTGTTCGTTCGTGTTAATGCTTTTACTGCTTTAAAGTAAATGCTATGTATACTTACTTGACGAAGTAACAAATTCTAATCCAAAACTGAAAATCAACACAGATATGAAGTGTCCAAATACCACTAGTTTAGCAGTATCCATCTTCATCTATAACGTAACTGTTTACGTTGTCATTGTATGTTTAGTCTCCCATTCTCTATCACACGAAAGTTCTGTGTCACCAAGTTCGTGTCATATACAGATATCAACGAGGAAGAACCCGTTATCAATGTGAGACTGATAACAGTTGTTTACCCTGTATTGATCGTCTGCAGATCTACACGTACATGTACCTGTAGTCCTGTTTTATATTTTGCGTTAAAGGTTCAAAGGTGTTGCACCACGCTTTTTATCTTTTTGTGAAGGTTCATGCAACAGTTCTATACATTGTATTTACAATCACGTGGTCCCGAGGGACCACTCAGTAGTGAAACAGAATTTAGAAATTAAATGAGACTTACCTGTAAGTTGAAATTTGATTATAATTCTGTTTCACTGCTGAGGGTACATTAGGGATCACGTGCCCACCCTTTAAATACCAAAACAGTTTCAATATGACTTGTGTTGTATCTTTAAATAAAGCATCGTATGCAAATTGCCTAAGATGTTAATAAGTCATTAAATAAAATAAGAACATACCAAACTAAATAAAGTACAATGACCTTCATTCGCCAACACCATTGCGCTTGCTATCTTACCGGTACTGATACTGATAAGTACATACATCGGAAGGCATCAATTTTCTTTTAGATCTGTTTCTTTGTTTTGCATTTATTTCATCATTTTAGCATTGGTTATCATTATTGCAATGTATTTTCGTACAGACAGACTATAAGATAATAAGCAGCGTATATGGTTGCATTTGTATGGTAAAGGACGACGGGTCCCGTTCAAATCAAGGGTCCTCAAAGCAGAGGACAATAACATCGTTGACAACACATACACGTAGGTAAACTTAATGGTACGGGATCATTTATTAAACACGTAAACTGCCGCACCAGTTTATATATATAACATGTTCCTCTGATTTATTAGTATGGCTCTATGTAATACTGTGTAGATGAGATAAACAGCAACGTGTTTACCTTTAAATGTAAGCGATGTGTGTACAAAATGCATATAAACAAAGGGTAAGATGAAAGTATTTGTACCGGCTCCAATAAGGCTGGCATATAAAAGTCATATGTATCATTAAGTAAGATTATGCTATATATATGAAATTCAAACGTGTATATGATATTGTTGTTTATGTTTAGCTACTATTCGGTGAACCAATCTGTAAATACAGTAAGTGGACAAATATAATTATTATCACTTCACTTTCTGAATAGAATAATATTCGTGATACAGCTGTTATTCTAGATGGCTACAACTAATTTATCTCTGTAATTGCAATCAAGTAGTGTGAAGTTGAACTTAATTACATTCCTATTGGTATTGTACGGTAAGTGTAGATTATATCAGTTGTTACATAGCGGATATTTTTGTTATTGTAAAATGTACTTTAAAATGAACTTTTTGATGGCGATGATACTTGACACTTGAGGAAATGTGAGTTGCTAAGTGTACAGGAAAAGCAAACAGCTAGGGCTGACGTAGTTGGTCAATCATCCTTAGATATTCGTGGACCAATTTCTTTTTTTTCATTTGACCAAATGACCAAATGGATTCCAACCGGCAGCGTTTTGAGAGATTTGCTATAACTCAACACTGTATCAAAACGACTAGTTGGGCTTCAAATCTTAGAGTGCTACTCAAAGGACGTGCTCCTGATGTGTTTCCGTGGTTACCTGTAGATCAGGCTCTTGACTATGAAGTTTTGAAAACTGCACTTTTTAAGCGATTTGAAATGACTGAGGAGGGTTTTAGAAATAGTTTTAAGTCAAGGAGGTCAGAGGAAGTAGAGACATTTTGACAGTCCGTAGTCAGACAGGAAGCTACGTATATCGTACGGTGGTTAGAGATGGCTAACATACCTGATGGTACGTGACCAGATTGCACAGGCTTGTGGACACGATCTTGTGTAGTTTCTGAAGGAACACATCCCATCTTTGAAAGCCGTGTTACAACTAGCTGATCAGTATATTAAAGCTAGGGGAAATCCATTTAATATGGTCCGGTTAAGAAGACAAGGAGATAAAGATCATTTTTATTTTATTTTCATGGACAGGTAAATGACGCGATTACACCATCTCGTCTACCACAGCGTCCAACAACTCAAAAGGGAATTCTGGAAATAAGTTGAAAATAAAACATTGCTACATTTGTAAAGCGACAGACCATCTTGCAAACAAGTGTCCAAAGAAAGGTTCTGGAAGTCGTGTGGCTGTTGTGTTAGGGAAACAGGAAACTACGAAGAAGCATCCGTCTACAAGAATGGAAAAGGACCCCAAAATAAAGAAATATCTGTTTCGTGTGATGTGATTTGCTCATCCCGCCACAAGAAGATTGCCCAGTGGACTAATAAAATCGCTTTGTCACAGCAGCAAACGGCACTATATGTTTGGGACCCGCTTTTGTTTCAATATTTTGATTACTTGTAAGCACCCGATAATTTTCATTCAAAAAAGGTGATACGACAACTAAGAGAATTCTGCGTTCTTGTATTGTACATGTGCCAACCTTACATTTCCGAAATCGTACATCATCATATCAATACCAACCGGGTACGTAATAAAACTGGTAACATGGCCATCCCGCCAGATATGTAGTATAGTTCACCGTATCACTAAAAAACATCAACATAATACCGAAGAATCAACAAAACAACATTACGAATCCTATAATTAGTTCTAAACCCGCTTTTGTTTATCTTTAAGTCAAATGTGGCTGTGTTTCAGATGAAATCGTGTCAACCTACGAGATACATTTTGTATGACTACTGTATGTCGTAATTTCATTATGTCGTAAAAATGACTATTTATCGCTAACTGGCTTCTTTATTGTTAAGTTTAATCGGACTGATTTTCGTTTGATCTGAAGTAGGCCGTGTTCTCTTTTTGCAATTTCAACAGATATATATTGCATGTGCATACATGTATATACGCAAAACAAATCAATTTGAATCAGGTCTGAAGAATTATATAAGCGAGGAGAACAGCACCTTTAATTCAACCCCAGATATTTGCGTTGCTGGTCAGTAGCCTAACTACAGACGAATACGAATGCTATAATGCTAATCAAATGTACCTTTAACTTTTGATGAATACAACGATACAAAGATATTTTTCATATCACATAAAACCTGTGGGGAGATTTACAGTGTATAACGCTTTTTTATCAGAACACTCCCATTGGCTTACACAAAAAATACAAATTACTTACCTAGAGGTGACAGAGTAAACTTTAAAATACAGAAGCCGGTTGGATACACGATTAAATGTATTGATCAGCTCTTATCACCCAATTTAAGGTTGACAAACTGGTTTTATTGCACGCATCTGCAAAATTGTTTTGTCTTTTTGGAGAAGTCAAAAATCAAGCTTTTAGTTTCACTGACAGATAAAAACTGTTATTAACAGTATATAATTTTAATCTTTCCAGATTAAATCACCATAAAATAAATAGACAGTGTTGACAGTATTATATTAGGACCGAGAGATTGAAGAGTGTTGGTGCTTTATTGTAATCACCGCCAACTGACAATAAATCGCAAGTCCTACATTACCTTTCTCCTCCCCTTGATTAGTTTAACGTGAACGAGTCACGAACTCTGTTGAAAATCTCTTTTCTTGTAGGTAGATAATGAATTGACAGATAAATTTACAATGATATCTTTCATATTTGCAATCTATTTCAATTAACAAACTAAACTTCACATCGCTTCTTAGATTTTTAAAAAGTTGCTTTGTTTTTACGATAGTGGTCACTGAAAGCCCAATGAATGGTGGTTTTCATATTCGTTTTGAAGCACGTCTCATTTTCAACGGCCAAGAAAGCAGGATTATGTCGTCTAATCTAGACAAAATAGGAACATCCTTAAGTCTTCCGAGGCAAAATAGTTATGGTAATTTTCTAAAAGTGATACTGTATAGCGGTTTTATTTCGCGGGGGTTTTAATTTCGCTATATTCGCGCTATGACCAATGTCCGCAAATTATAAACACCAGCGACGTTATCGAAAATTTTAACCACTTTTACGGACCTTTTCACAACATATTGAAAATACTCTGTTTTGCATGCAAGCTTCAATGAACTCACATCAGATTATCACAGGACAACTGGGCAGTTCATCTAAAACAACACTTACATATTAGTCGCCGCAACATATTTACAATGTAAGTGTACACAGTATAGGTGAGTCATTGATTGCAGTTTACTCCTACCAAGGTACATGCACATTTAATTTTCTTTAGTGTGAAGTCACTGGCGGATGACGACGCTCGGGATCAGTGTTTTCAAACCCTTAAATGATGACACTCAAAATACTTAGCACGACACATGGGATTCGGATTCAAGCCGAAATTTAACCCCCGCGACTATGTACTGAATACGAAACCGTGAAATATATTGACCTTGCGAATTTAAAGCGCTATTCAGTAAGTACATTTGCCGTACGCCAGTCTGGTGTAGGCTATGTGATTTAGTTCTGCTGCCTAAGGTAGAAGATCCATATCTAGCAGTAAGTGAATGATAAGTAGCGTAATACTTGTATATACAAACAAGGTGTTTTGATATCATATTTATATGTATAGTAGTATCTACCAAAATGCATAATGAACGCTGTTAAATGTACTGCATATACCATGACAAATATGTGGCGATGCAAAATCAAAAACAAAACAGTAATAGGGATGAGAATGTGTTTCCATGTTTCTTGTTCCATGCATGAACATTTCAAATAAGAAAGTTAACAGCATTTTATGATTGTTGTGTACTTGTGTTTCACTTTGATAATTGTTAAAGTTTTATTATATATATATATATTTCATTATTATAAAATGGAAAGGTGTCATCTTTTCACGGCCGATGAAATCATTGTGCTAACCTCATGTAATATCTGGCAGCGCATAGTTTGTTGGTTCCCTACTTCATGTGCAATTTGATGAAACTTTATTTTGGACAACAACTATGAAATAAGTCTTATCGACTTAAATGTATCAGTCCTGTTGGCTTGGATGATATACCGAGTGGGGAATCTTAATGTGGAATGAGGCTGGAGTTTTGGGAGAAAACTCACGTTGTGTGCCAAATGATCCAAACCTTTTCATATCCGATTGGAGAATCGACCTTGTCCATCGTGGTGAAAGGCGAGTGGGCCATCCGACCATCCTCCGTGGGTAATTGACGTATGTTATCAAAGTCTCTCAATATGTACAAGTTGTTTGTTTAGCAACGATATCAGTAACCAGAGATAGCGTAGTACATTTATATAAAAAACGTACAGGGAAGTGACATCCTACTTCTATACACCTCTAAGTACGTTTCAATTGCATTCACACAAATACAGATTGTCCCGGTAATTGTCATTTTTGAAGTAGGCAAAAAAAAAAGTTATCAAACATGAATCACTTCAACTATATTGAATAATTTCCGTATAATCAGCATGTAATTATTTCTTTATAAACTGAATTCTTCCGTGAATATTGATTCTATAAATGATAAGTTCTAAAATATAACAGCGGCTGTTACAAAAGACCAAATAGCAACCGAAAATGTTCATGTGAAGTTGCATTTTTTGTTTGTTTGAGTGGTTTTACGTCCGCTTTACTACCGAAAGGTTCGGTTATCAAGTAGACAACAAACGCTTTTTGTAATTCGTCGGCTTTTATACTTACCGTCTGGGTTGCAAAAGCCAATCAGCCTATAATAACGACGTCACTATTGAAGTCCGCCAAAGTGTAAACAAACGCGAAATTCTCTCCTAGAATTTTGCAGAATTATGATGTTTCCGAAAGGTAAGATATAAGGTCTGAATTCGTGCCTGAATCGAATTTGACGAATCTCGCCATTTTGAACGGCATGTTCGAGCCACAGTCGTAACTGGAAGAAACATATTGGATCTTTCTCTTACAAATACGTATTTGTGTCAAGCTATAACTTATAACAAGGGTGTAATCTACATAACAGTAGACACTAAATTCTTAACAATGTGTTAAACAACTTTTTTCAATTGCACGTTTTTATCGATTTTTCAATATGTTGACTTAAAATAATTTATATAATTATTAAATTTATTTTACTTCTTCTTTTATAATATAATGTATTACTATTTATTTTGTCATATAACGGTTTTGTTCCATGGTTAATTATTTTTCTTTCTTTAGTTCGGGGTTTTCTAGTTTTCCTCCCTTTTGGGAAAATAAAGAAGACAATGACAAACCAAATTAAGTCAGCTTGACAGAAGCTCCACATGAAACACAGGTTATGAACCTGTGCGATCCGTAGCTTTTATGTGGTTGTGCATTTTTATATATCATACATGTGAAAATAACATTATCTTACAATGATATAACCACTGCATATACGTCAAATCCCTTAACATATTGCATATACACAACATTGACTAGGTACACAATACAAATAATTGATACTATTAAACACTATTTAAGTATAGTCAATATTTGTACATTCAAAATTTGAAATCAGCACTACAGTCAAACAGTCAAATTTTGTTGTTGTAATTGATCTAAAAGTATAAGTACATGTGTACTAACATTAGTGAACCCAAAATGGGACAGTACACAAAATAGCACACCTGTTGAAAAACGGCCTAAAAAATGGGCAGAAAATTAAAATGAATACTTTCATGTATGCAATGTTCTGTACATAATACTGTTCTGTCAATTTTGCTGTTAATCTACTTTATTGGCTGATGATTGTGGTTTTAGGTTAGACATTACTTTGAAAACAACTTTCTTAATTAACATGCCGTAAGGCGCTGTATATTTGGCTGTCATTTTCAGAAACCTATTTCTCAAACTCAAGCTAGTGATCAGAAGAAGTTAAATCAGAACATCTTTTGACTCTAAAGTATTATATCTATATGTGGTTTTCTGGTAATAAAGATCGCTTTGAGCCGATATATTAAAGTATACCCTCCATGGTATAACTACACCTACCCCAAACTCTATGGTCTCTTATTGGATTTAGAGTTCTATTTGTATTACCTTGATTGTTTGGTTCAATATCCTTTTCATCCTTGTTCAGTTGTTTTTTTCTATTGTTTAAAAAATGTTTTTCAAAACCTGCAAGTTCTATATCAATTAAACTTGGATGATATATTCTTCATTTGCAGTGCATCTCAATACTCAATATCAGATTCACATGCGAGTATGATCTTAGAAATATTTTCTAAATATCTTAATTGGGAAAAAACACAAAACTGATCATTTAAACGTTCCATTATCTAAAATCCATTTTCCTTGATACATTAAGTTTTTGACAATTAAATAAACATTTTAGATTTAATTCCAATTTACATTATTTGATCTTTATTTGAAAATTTGAAAATAGATCAGTGAAGTTCTCTCATCACGAATGGTATGTGACAGTATTTTCCTATGGTCAGTTGAGACATATAATTCCTTGTTATTTGTGTTTAATAAATATTACCTTATAAACACAACACTTGTTATTGGATAGAAACAATTTTATTTGTGACAAATTATAACTTGGTATGTTTAGGCATATCATTTCATGAGGCAACAATACTGTAAAGTTGTGTTATACATATTGCTCAAAACTGTTTTATATTGATATTTTAATTAAGTGTTAACAAAATTTAAATTTTGATTTTTTTATTAAAAATGTTAACATGTTATGTGATATCTAATTACACATTATCAGCTTCCAGCTGCAAAACCTTGCTTAACCTTATAAGAACAGTTAAGCACAGGTGAAAACACAGGCGCAATACAGGTATCTACTATCCAGAAAAAGACTATAATCTTTCAAAAAACATTCTTCTCCCCATATTTTTTTAAAACGTGGGGAATCAGGAAAAAGCCCTTTCTTTGAATTGAGAGTCAATAAGAAATCTAAGGTTCAAGAAAGGCATTTTTTGAATTGCACATTACCACATATTATATTTGAAATAACGCCACTAAACAAGGAAAATATCCAGTACTAGCTAGATTATTCAATATCAAAAATATTTCAAATTAAAATATGATGTAATATTAATTGCTATTGACTCTACCATTAGATGGCAAAACTAATATAAAGAGCTAATTAAAAAAGGTTACCATTGAAAACCATTTTGTATTATTTTTTTACCAGTGCAATACCAAATGTTATCAAAAAATTCATAATACTATATCTTAACAGTTTTTATTTTGTTCACTGCCTGCAGAGAGGATAGCCAAAAATGTTGTATGTAACATGTACATTATATATTTAATAAGATACTGTTTTAATTTAAACGTGAAGAAACGATGCAATAAGTGATTTTTTTTAAAATGTTTGGTTATCCTCCAACTAAGTTATAGACAAAAATACACAAATATAACAGTGGTGTACCAAATAATAGCAATAACAGAAATAATAGCAGAAAACAAGAGAAATGCGTCGAATAGCCCATTTTAGTGGCGAACAACATTATTGCAAGCATGTTAAACGTTAAGTCATGAGAATATGGCACCAATTATTACGCAACTCAACCTAGCCTTTATAGTTTGCAGAAGTATTTTTATTTTTAGCCAAAAAAATAAATAATTTGTTTTACCATTCATTAGTATCGAAATTCACTTCAGAAACATACACCTTTATATCGAACTTTTTAGTAATCTGTCATACTGGTTTATGTATTCAACGAAAAAACCCAGATATAACACAATTATTACTGAGTACCGATACTAGGTATATTTAATCTTCTGCTATAGGATCTGTTATCGAATTAGTTACATTTCTCAAGTATTAACGATAAAGATGCTACGTGTATCTAGAGCGTGTAGGTATTTTATTTGTAGTGTAATCGTTGTGTCAAACACTTATGCAGTAATGCAAGGCTACAGGCATTTTAACTGAGTAAATCTGGTAGCTTACAGCAAATGTTATCAGATATGAAGACGCTTCAATTCCTAAACCATTAACATATCAAATCAAGCACATAATCTTCCATCTCTCCATACCCATCTGAACCGAAAATCTGCAGCTTTAATTGCAGTACAAAGAAAAAAACGTTCGTCTTGGTCAGTATAAAATTGGTTATTTCTTTTAATAACTGAGTTTGGTTCCTCTCACCTACTTAAGAAAAATATATGCTTGGATCGATTTAACTACGTATCTCACCTATTATTTTGTATGGTTTACAGGATCTGATGAAATATTTTCCTATCTTTTGACAATAAGACAGCATTAGAACACATAAAAATGATCGATATAAACTTTAAGCAACAAATGTAGATTTGAGGTACCAAAGCTTGTTTTGGTACACTGTACTCTTTTATAAGTTACACATGATTTTGATGTGATCATATGAACGTGTGTTCTGCTAAAAACATAGATGCACTATTTCAAAGAAAAAAAAATCTTGGTTTACCAGTTCAAATGTTGAAAACTTCACAAGTTTGATCCTTTTTCATGACATGTTTATCAAATTTCGGTTTAATACATGAATGATAACATATTCAAGGGATATCTAGCTTCCAGACAGAAAAGGATGTGGATTGGATAAATATCACGTGCCATAAACATGAAAGTAAAATTCTTAATATAACCAAAAAGGATATCACGAATTAATATGACAGTCACTTTAACTATTTGACTTTTACAAAGGGTATCACAGTCAACGAAGGTTGATATATTCAAGCGGTGCAAAAACTTGTTCATTTCACTGTGTTCATGACGTTTAAACAGTTATCAGTTCAATAAATGTTGATATACTCTTAAATATTGGAGGAAAAGCTTATAATATATTATCTCATGGTATATTGTCATTGTGTCACTGTATCTCGTTTTGTTGCCGCGCTATTGGACTATTGTGTCGTAAATGTTGCGCGTTTTGTCGATTTTTGTTGAATCTAAACCTTCATAGCTGTTCTCATGGTTTGGTATATCTGCAAAGAAATAGATATTTGTCGATGAAACGTCAAATTCTTAAACAAATAGAGATGCCTCAAATAAAACTTGTTTCACAAATTTCATATATTTATACAATGTAAGCATAGAACTGCATTGTATGACAATTAATCTGAAATGTATTGCCATTAGTTAATGCCATTTATTGTTCAATCTATTAGGCACTTACGATAGGTTTGGAGTTCTTTGGAAGGTGGTTGTGTCCTCGAGTTACTGAATCGCATTCTAAAAGTAGATATGGTAATTCTTATTGTACATTTCTGTAAGATCATGGTTAGGGAACACAATAAACTTGTTTTTACTTTAAGTACATTCTTGCATCAGTCTCGCGTTCTGTTGTATGTGTTAGGATACATTTTACGTATATCAATATCGCAAACATCATCAAACAGTGAGGAAAATGTGTCAATTATTATTCTTTTCTAACACGTCGTTTTAATTTGAGCTTATATTCCTTAAACTGTCGCTAGGAACGTATGTGTATCCGTAGCTTAATGATATTTATACACACCATACATATATGAATTGAAATATTCAAACGCAATCTTAGGACTTATTGAACATTTACAAACGGAAAGTTAATAATTTCTTTTACAAGAAAATAGCACCAAATCAATTTACGGTATTGACTTGAAATAAAAAATACCCTTAGACGAATTTAATTGAATGTCTCATTGTAAGTCTAAAATGTATGTGCTTTTGAATCTGAATTTTAATTTGTAATTCACATGCTTTTCAACATATGCAGTCATTATTAACTTACATCTTACCTTGTGCACTTGATGGTGAATCCTATATTGAAACTAATGGAAATAGCGAGAAAATTACCAAGAAGTGCGTATCCAGTAGCACATGTCGACACCTACAGAAACAAAGAAACCAGCTTTCATGATTTTTTTTTTCTTGAAAAGGCCTCATTCTCTTAACAAACATCGCTAAAAAAGATTAACAATAACTCTGGTATGAATTCAAATATGTACTCACCTCAGCAATGTGTGGATAATCTAATTTACTTGAATTCTGTTCTTTTGCTGTAAAAATGAGTGAAAATTATCGACATGATAAATTTAACATTTTACACAATACTAGATTTACCTTAAAGTATAGGTTTGTGGATATCCAAGCACCCCACATATTATTTGTATATCAAATACTGAATAGAGGTTACAAATTTACTTGACACGCCGTGCGACCATGATGAACATGCAAACCAAGCATGATCTATCTGTGAATCTGTGGGTGATATACGGCCTGTAAACTTGTATTTCGGTACTTGATGTCAAGGTCAAGTGCCATATAGAGGCCGAAACGTTCATATTGTGGTATCCGACACAGATATTTTGTAGGATTTACATGTACCACCATCTCAGAGCAAATGTGTAAAGATCAAAAGAGGTCTCAAAGAAATTGTTTTGATTTGTAACACAGCGCTTTTATAGAGTCTGTAGTCCATTCATAAAACATTGTACGAGATATGCGTGAACTAAGCTGATATTGTGTATAACCGTACCATCACTGCAGGAAGGTCCTGTCCATCCATCCTCACATCCGGGTGTTTATATTTCGGGGGCTAAAGGTCAACTCACCGGTCACTATTTCTATAAATAAACCAACCAAGGAGTCAAAGGGGCATTCGTATTTAACAGACTTTTCTAGTTTTTAGATAATGAAAGAACAGAAAAAACAGTCATGTTTCCTTCTTTATGTCTAAGTTTCTCTGTCTGTTCTGCTGAGATAAGGTACATACACAACACTTCTTTAAATTTCCCCTTGATTGATCTTTTAATACCAACTGTAAGAACGGTCTTGTAACATTATATGATTATTAAGAATCGATAGGAATGTAAACATCACATACAAGGAAATATTGTATAAAAATAACCCAGGCGATATAAAAGATTCCTTTTTCAATAAATAATCTCATATGCGATATTAAATCAACATTCACACCTTATCAAAGATTGTCATTGTTGCTTTGTAACGTTAAGTCTTGATTAATTTGTGCTAATATGATTTAGCCGATGTCCAACAGGCCTTTATCTACCCTTGTATGGCGTTATGCAAGCAAACATGAACTATAAAAGTTTAACTGAGTGTAGTATGCATTCGTCGAACTTATATATGTAACTGCGAAATATTGTTATGACAATCACTAATTTCGGATTTACTAAAACAAATAGTTACAAATAATGATCAACAATTAATATCTTACAGTTATGTTTTAATAATATTAGTAATATTTACGTGTTTCAATTTTGTAACGAATAATTAAGACTTATCGGATATTGTTACATGTTCGATTTGAAGATTGGATTGATATCATCCGGTGATCTGATGATTAAGATTCATAATGTGACTTTAAAACAAATCGAATGTTGATGACAAATAGAGGTAAACATATTACAAATTTTAAAAACTTCAATTACAATAAAATAAAGAAATAGATCAATTAATAGGATGCTCTTACTTTGATCACATGATCTCTCCATCCATCCATCCTGGCAAGTGTGAATAATTTCCTGCCAAAACAGTTTTTTTAAATATACTTTAAGGTATTATTTCCCTATTAAACGGATGGCCCAGGGAAAAGGAATTTTACACTTAAAATAAAGGCTCCTGATTATCTTTCCCTTCATGCAGATTTCGATTGTATTACATATGAGTCTGGAAAAGATTAGTAAACTTTCTCTTTTAGGCCCCTGGGGTTTGGACAGGAATTTCAATTATACAATTTAATACCCTCTTCCACCAAGGGTGATTTTGTCTGAGTTTGTCAAAATTCCATCAACTGGTGGTCCTTCAGAAGAAAATCAAAAATGGAAAAAAAAAACTTTACGGATGACGGACGAAAGGTAATCGGAATATTGTAGGTATGCAGTTATTTGACAACACCCGCCAAAAATTGTGGGATCATCTTCCATACATAGATTAATCTGTTCTGAACAATATATCAGATGTATCATGCATTACAGGGTGAATGTGACATTCTAAAAGCTCATAGCATATATTTTCAATTTGGTTGAAAACCCAAATAATGAATATATTTTGACTTACATTATGTGTTTTTTAAATCATATGTTTTTATAAAGACATCGATGTTATATACATTTAATAATTCCACGTTCAATAAATGTGGATTTCCAGATAATGATAAAAACAGTTTATACCTTAAACACTCCATTCTTGATCTATATTCATTTCTGATTATGACAAATGTTATATACTATACAAAACCTGTAAGTAATGAAAGCAACACATTGTCGTTTTACTAAACTTGTTGTGGTAAAAATATAATAAGCGGTCAAACTTTTTTTTTTATTTCAATATGCATTTAGAAAACACCTGTCTGAGCCGTAAGCAACATGCACATATTATATGCAAATCAACCTCAGCTTCACATACCCATTGTTTAATTTATAACATATTGTACAACAAAACGTCGGCGTGCAAATTCAATAATAAGTTACTTACTTCTATCACAAGCGTCTCCCTTCCACCCGCTCTGAAATCCTGGTTGTGTACATCTGCCAGTTACCATGTCACACCCCTCCGTCAAACAGTGACACTCTTGTGTACATTCACTGCCATGACGGTCGTTGACACATACTGATGTAAGATATATAGAAGTATGATTAAATGTCGTAGAATACCACAATTTCATCCAGAGAAACATTAATAGATTATATAATACTATTTATTTGCATTTGCGTTTTGAACGTTCATTGACTACCGGGGAATAGCAAATCTTTCCGATCACAATCTTTGCAATTGTTTGAGAAGCCGATATTTATTTGTTTTATCAATGACTAAGTTTATTTCATAGTTTGGTTGAAAGTGTTAATAGTTATCCGTTTTAATAAAAATGCGATACAAAAACCTGAACAGTTATCTTCCGTCCATCCGTCCTGACATTCTGGCGCATCACACACTCCTGTGTCTGAGTGACAACCTCCAATCTTACAGTGGCACATTTTATTACAGTTGGCAGCAAAACGGTTCAACTGGCATCCTTAAGTAAATGTATTATTACGATTTTACATAAACGTGGCATGTCTTAACTCAACGAATAATTCATCATAATTGAAACTATGTAGTTATTACTTCGACTGATGTCCCAATTAACATACGTTTTTTTCAGCAAAAATAGTGCATATTGTGACATTGAACAAAGAGGCTGTGTTACGTCACTCTTTTGTTTTAAATAATATTTATGATTACTGTGTTATGCAATTCGCGTTATAATATTCGTCTCTTCGTCTGGAAGGCATTATACATGAAGATTACTGCTACAATTAATTATAATGTGATCGTTTATGATCTTAAATGTGTTCTGCTTTATGTAAACATGATGATATACATATTTTCAGTGAAGCGGTGCCCTCGCATGGACGTAAACAAATACTACATCCTTTGAATCATATAACCAATAATGTATCGTTGAGGAGGGGGGGGGGGAACGCCTGAATACATATACATAATTCCAGATACGGATATTCTTATAAGGTTTTTTCCCTTTAAGAAAGACAACTCGGAGACCAACTTGAATTTCCTTTATAATTCAAAAATTTAAAAGCACTTTATATTCAACACACTCGTCTTTCTCGGCCTAATACACTGACTTTCAACTCAATATGATCACCTCAACATCGACCTAAGTGACAAATAATGATACTCTACTCTCATCAATGTTAACCATCTTTTCCACAGGCTTACTATTCAACCTCACCTGTGTACATGTCTCAGTCTATATGTTATTTCAAAGCCTATTCTTAGTAACAGTATTGACTGAATAGACTCGTCCTCTTGAGACAAAACATTCGCATAATTCATATATTCGTTCCCTGAGCATCATAAGTCGCAATGTGCTCCGAAACAACCAGGTTCACAACGTATTTCTATTAATATATCAAATTGATAACACATTGTTCGGACACTCTTTCATATTTCTGACTTAAATGCAAAAACAAATCACAAAACAACTTTTGAAAATTGTATGGATTTTGGTTTACTGCTAATATAAACACTTTCAAGAGGAATGAATACCTATAGTACATTACCCGAGCAACTTGTCCCCATCCATCCACTCTGACATCCACTAAGGTCACACTGTCCGGTATCTGGGTAACAACCACCCGTCCTACAGTGACACACACTGCTACAATCAGGTCCAAAGTGATTCACGGGGCATCCTATCAACAAAATGTTCTATTTCAATATATGTTATTCATAAAGGAAGTCAACATGATTGGACATCAGGCTTATATAAATCCTCTCGCTACATCTTCATCCAACTGGTATTTATGGAGTAAGATGTGTTTCGATTTGACAAAGTATATCGCTTTGAACAGTTCACATTCAATAAGATCAGTTTTTATTTCTTAGATATCTTACATTGAGCTGAAATATTTCGAGACTACGCAGAGGACCTGGTTTTATATGTATATCATTTGAACAAATAAGTAATGTAGCATCTATAATTAAAAACAAACATAGGTTTTAGGCTGAATAGATACTGCGAACAGGTATTAAGTTTGCAAACATACACACACTTAGTTGTATACCTCCTGGATCTCATGTGAGTCCCATAGAGTGGTGGTGATGTTTTATTCATAATCAAATACCAATTTGAAATATTTCATAACAGAAATGGGATACATGCTAAAACAAGTATCTAGTGTGCATAAACAGAATACTGGGCATCCACAGATGGGTATTGGCAGCATTACCAGAAGGAAGGTGTTTGTCAATAGCATAATAACATGAAACACGTATCAACACATAATGAACAAGTACAGTTGTGTGACCGCATAACGCAACACAAATATCATGCGCAAGTCGTGCATACATCGTACACACGCCTTCTGCACATCGTCCACACATGGTGCGCACAACTCTACGCTTTATCTATCGTTCGCCCCGTTGTGCACTTCTCTCCACACACATGTGCGATTGCGTACAAGTAGTCAATCAATATTAAGGAACAAAAACAATCCTGAAAGGCTTGTATGGAATAAGGAACACTGTATATACACATTTCTCGTTAAATTAATTAAGCTTTTGTTCAGTTTTACAATGAGTGTAATACAATATTACAGTGACTGTTAGACTGTCAAAAATGGGTTTGGCTCCCTGGTAACAGAACAGGTAAATAACATTTAGATGAGTGACCGGACTTTTACCTGGCGCCCTGTGCCTGACATAGAGAGCCGATGTATACTACCGTATTGCTGTTATGAAAACACAACTGGACGTTAAGTATTAGTTATTTGGTTTTTCTTTTCGGTCTAAATCTTCTCTTCACCTGGACTTTCACACTTCGACGTATTATGTAAGTGCCCCGGATGAGAAAATTACGGTCTACGTACATGTATAAATTAAGTGGCTATGTTTACCTGTATATGGGATTATGGATTAAACAGGTATAATTATTCTACATGTGTCAATTTGGGTAGTTATAAAACACCGAAACACCATTTCTAAATTAAAAAAGATCAGCTCATATATGCAGATAGAATAGAGAAATATCTTAAAAAATCAAGTTTCTATGTTTTATCACGAAACCGTATAAATTGTAAAGCCATTTCTCAATTCACACCAACCACGATTGTCATCGCACTTTTTTTATTGAAACATATTGTGTTGCCGATATAAATAGCTATAGGATAGGGCACAGGTTGAATAACTTATACGAAGCCCTTTCCCTCAACGTTCGTCAATCGTCGGCACGATTGTAGGCAAGCAATAATCGTCCGGATTTGTATCGTTTGCAGATCGTGCACATACCGTGCGCACATCGCGCGCGCTCCGCACATGATGTAACGTTGTGCGATCCCACAATTGTACATATACATGTATATGATAAAATCCAAGACAGTATGTTTCACATAAAGGGTTCGGACTAGAGTAGTGCTACGATTGAAAGTGTACCATAAATAATAGGACAGATTCAGCCAGTTACGTTCTTTACGGTGTTATACATCAATTCAAGACAAACGTTTTATTGACTGGTATGGTAGCGAGATATGGCTTGCTTACCTTAATGAGGAATAAACTGTATATATAATCAATATGTGAATTTTCGAAATGCTAAATTTCTAGATTATTTAACTGATGCAATAGCATTTTAAAAGGAGAGTAGATTTATGTACAGATATGTATATTGTTATCAATGAGTTTCTATATGTAAATAAATTATATGACCACAAAAAGGATTACTCGTAATGACACATAAAAGGTAGGCACACCAGTGTTAACAGACGAGAAAACGCGTTCATCACTGGACATGGACGTTGGGTTATCATAGAACGAAAAACAAATAAAACAAAACCAACAGACGCTATTTACATTGATGATGGTATAAGTCCTGATCTGTTGAACAGCAGACGACATCAGATGGTACTACATTGTAGCAAAACTAAACATCTACAATAAGACTAAACATGTGTTTGACTGTTGGGTAATTCACGATTAAGAACTTTTAACATATGACGGGATAATGCTTGAAAATGTAGGTCAGCATTCTAATATCTTATTCTAAAGAGAAGGCATTAACACATCCTTTTGCTGTTGTATATCGGCACTTTAAACATATTTACTATTCATATGGCTAAGGAGCCATTGCAAACAACAGGTCTCGAGTAATTTGTTTAACTAAACAACTTCTGAAGTAACAATGGCCGAACTAACAATACAGTAGAAGGTTGGTAAAGATTTTGTTTTGGTAAGTTTTATGATTTCCATCATATAATATGAATGTTGATGTTATGGTTGTGCCGATTAGTTTCCCTTATCAATTTGTTTCACTGACCCGGTTCCCGCTTAGAAGACGTGATATAACTCAGATTGTGTACCACAATATATCAAGGTTAACTTACATCACTTCTTAAACATTTGTATCTTAAATGCATAAACTGTTGAACGCAAATTAGCAATGGTGTTTATCATCAACAGAAACAGGACACTTAATTTGAACTCCCAAAGAAGACCGTAATAAAGATAGCTGATCCGCTTACAAGCTTTTTTTATCAGATTACTATTCAAAAAGAGTGGAAACAGCAGGCTCTTTTATGTGTTATTTACAGAAAATGTAACTGCAGCTTGGCTACGCCAGTTTTGCTTTGGGCACCTTTCGAAGCAAGATTCCTTGATGAGTTAAAAGCAGCATAACGTCGGAAACAATAGCCTGACCATAAATGGCAAAAACCTACTCAGAGAGGCTACGGCAGGATAAGTTATCAACACCGACATACAGCAGGTGTAGAGGGGATATGATCGAAGCATATACAAAAGTAAAAGCTGTATGTATATGTACAACAAAAAAACTTTTTAAATTATTGGAAAAGGTGTAAGCACGGCAAATCAACGCGGTTATTCCAAAATGATATTCCCACTTCAATTCAGGACGTCGTCCCTGAGCAGCAACGATTTCACAAACAGAACTGTTAAGTCATGGAACAGTCTCCCAGAGGAAGTTGCAATAGTCCACTGTGTAAACTAATTTAAAAGCAGATTGGATATAACATAGACAAATCAAGAACTTTGATGCCATCATACATTGTAGGACAATTATAACAAGAACTTAACATTAAAATATTAAGATTGCAATAGAGTCACGTGAAGATATACTTATTTGTTTCTGTACTTGAATTGTCTTTAACTATGTAAAACTAACTACAAACGGAAGTTGCTTACACAGGAAGTTCACTTTTGACAGCGATATGGCAGATGATGTAAATAAATTCTTAAGATGTCAAGAAGGCAATTTCGTACAATAGAAATAATTTAGTCTATCCCATAACCATACCCACTTCACGCAGACGGCAATATTTCTCCTTATCTAAACGTTGAAAGATTATTTGAAGCAATAAAGCTATTCTACCTTGATTGTTAGCAGAGTACTTCTTAAATTATAAAGGCCGTAATAACTTCAGAACAAACGTATCACACAAATGAGTCCAACGCCAATTGATACTAAGTATCGCATCTTG